ACTACTGCAGATTGATAAAATATGCCAGTAATATTTCTTAATGAAACATGTCCTCTGTAGAATAATAGAAGTACTGGATTGCAATCAGAAGAAAGAACTAGATGGTTTTGCTACTCGTTAATCATTTAATCTTTGGTAAATCATTTAATATCTCCAGGAATAGTCTACTTATCTATAAAATGGGGTTAATAATAGCCAACCCCTCAGGAGTTTAAAAATAATGTATATGAAAGAATTTTATAAACTGTAAAGTACTATTAAGAAATAATTAGATATAAATATTAGTAGCATCCAAAGAACAGTGTACCTTTTGTACTAACAAGACCCAAACCAGATTACTATATTTCCTCTCAGTTGCATATTTTGCAAGATATTGACAATTGTCTACAGGAAGACAGAGCGAATATTGATGTGGATGTAGTGTCATTTGAAAAACAATGGAGGAAATTGGGAAAAAATTGAACATAGGGAGTATGAAAAGGGGATCGGGGCTATGATGCTTGTTTTGAATATGTGAAGGATTGGCATGTACAAGACCTATTCTGTATAGCACCAAGATGCAACTAGGTATTAAAGGTAATAGACTCAGGAAGGCAACTCATGGGTTTGAGAGCTTGGTTTAATCATGTAAGGAATGGGTTTTCTCACCTTTAGAGAAGTCCTGTCATGGTGAAGGTAGTGAATTGTGGTGGTTATATCCAAGCTGGATGGCAGCAATGTTATCAGGAGGCTTCTATTATTAATTTGAAGTTCAGGCTAGATGATTCCCAGTCCCTTCCCAAATCCAAGATTGTAAATAATCAGATGCAATATTTCTGTCATGGTTATTAAGAATGAAAGGATCATGAACTCATATGCTGACAAATCCCAGAATACTTAGTCTCACAGACCAAAACAATTCATGAGAGAATGGCAGGTGACATCAGCCGGGAATCAATGAGAAGAAAGACCAGTGAGATGTGGTATTCACCAGAAAGAGCACTTCTGCTTATATTATCACATCCTATGGAGAATCTGTTTAATATATTAGTGGTCTCTGTTGCTTGACAACATTAACTGTGATAGCATTCATGATTCTTAGTGTCCTCCAGGGATTTCCTGCTGTATTTCATATGACAGTTTCTGTTGCAAATACAAATTCCGGCTTAAATAGACCCTTCAAAATGGGTATATTTGGGGTATATTCAAAAATGGTCTCATTCTCCAATTTGGAGAAGAGGAGGAGGGAGCTGCCTTAAAGACTCAGGAAGTGCTAAGTTGGCAAATATTAAATGTTAAAATACACTTATATTAAATGTTAAAATGTTTGCCTGAAATGACTTTTGTATTGTCCTGCTGGGGAACACAGTGGCTCCTCCTTATATTTTTATATTTGCATTACAAAGACAAACGCATCACGTCCTGTATTAACCCTGTGTTGACCTTTTTGTCGTGTCCACAGACTTACACGTCTGGGTATGGTTTACAGAAACTGCACGTTGAAAATAGAGAAAAAAAGTAGAAAAAGAGATTTAACCCACCAAGAAGCAGGTTAAATTAATTTTCATTACGTTTTTTTTTTTTTTTTTCCTTCAGTTTCGGCTCTCCCTCAGCGCGGGAGGAGGCTGTGGGCTGCGGACTCAGTGCTGGAATGAGGAGTAATTGAGCTTGAGCTAAGCCTGAGTTTGCTTTCTCCTCCTGGTGTCATTGCTGCAGCCTCCAGCGCCCGGTCGCTAGTTTCTCAGCCGCCTGTCTTCTCCGTGCAAAATCTCCTGCAAAGACAGCTAAGCCGCCGCAGAAGTTGCCGGGCGTACGACTCCGGAGGCATTGGCTCAGTAACTTTTCACGTCATTTTCTGCTGTGGAGCCCCTTCTCGCCTCTCCGCGCAGCCTTTCCCACCCGCAAATCACCAGTGCTCATGGGGCAGGCGAAGAGGAGCTTGCAGCACTGAGCGGAACCGGACTCGAGCCCGTGATGTCCGGCACCAAATTGGAGGACTCCCCCCCTTGTCGCAACTGGTCATCTGCTTCGGAGCTCAATGAAACTCAAGAGCCCTTTTTAACCCCCACCGACTATGACGACGAGGAATTCCTGCGGTACCTGTGGAGGGAATACCTACACCCGAAAGAATATGAGTGGGTCCTGATCGCCGGGTACATCATCGTGTTCGTCGTGGCTCTCGTTGGGAACGTCCTGGGTGAGTCTTCTCCGGGGCAGCCCTCCCAAGGGCTGTCACTTCCCCTCTGCCCCAGGTTGCAAAGGCTCTAAAAACCCCTCCCTCCCCTTGGGATGCAAACAAAGAGGTCCCTGCTGTCTCGGGTGGGATTTTCTAATACAATAAATATAAAAAGTTTTCTGATTTTATGAACCAGGACCGAGCCCTGGAATGGTTATTTCCTTTTCTGCAGGCAGAAGAGAGAAACCGCGTTTCTTTTTTGAGCACCTAGGTTTACAAGTGCAAGGAAAGGGGCAGCCACGGGGATCACCAGGTGGATTTCGTTGAGTGTGGGGGAATCAGTCATCCTTTTGTGCAACGCGGCTGGGTGTTTCAGGGGGTCTGGGGAGAGGCAGAGCCGGCAGATGCAAAGCTGCGCCCCTAAGGAGCAAGCTCTGTTAGGCTGCTGAAGTCACAGAGCTTTTGTGAGCTAGGTGGCATGCCCTTTGGCGAGGAGGTTTAGGCTCCAGTCCAGAGGTTGAAATGAAGGGTCAGCGAGTGGAGACAGAGGCAAAGCAGGGAAGTGCACACACTCACTGACGCTGAATTACACAGGAACCATGCCGGGAGCAGGAAGGAGGGGCATCAGAGAAAAGTACCACAGAGATCTCTATCATCCGTCCATTCATTCATTCATTCATCCATTCAGCTAGATTTTTTTTTTATTTCAAAGCGTACGTGTTTCCAGGCTCTGGAAATATTTGTATCAACTGTTTTTCCTTTTCTTTTTCAAAGATGAGATTAAGTTTAATGCTAGGCTGTATTCATCTCTGTCTGGGTCTGTATGCGAACACAGGTTTCCTCGCCCCTCCCCCCAATTTCTGGGGGTTGGGGAGGGGTGAGGTGGCTCTATGGTGACTGTGTTGGTGGAGTACATTAGAGTAGGAGGGGAACCCACATCAAGGAAAGGAGCTTTGGAAGGGAGGAACAACTTAAAATGAATTGTGAATGAAAGAAGAGCGTACCTTGATGAATGGAGAGTGGGAGCCTGGGAGGCTGGGAGGCTTTTCACATGCAGAGGGCAGTGTGGAGGAAGTCTCAGCTGAAAACGACAGGAGGGGATGTGGGAGGCTAGGAAAAGATGTTCTTGATTTTCAGTTATGAAAAGGGAAGAAGGTGAGTGAGGTGAGATAGCCTGGGAGGGTTTGAAGTCAAAAGCAAAGAGAGACTCTAGCTGCAGTGGAAAAGGATACAGAACTTAAAGAACTAACCTGATTTTTACCTTCTCTCCTAAGTGTGTTGACCTGGGTACGTAGCATTCAAAGTAGTCGCTCATCAATTCAGCAGACAGAATAGTTGATAGTATGTGAATGAGAGGAATTCTCCAGAGAGTTAGTAGAATATTATTTGATGAGACAAGAAACCTCTGAGAACTTTAGTTTACTATTTCTGTATTATTTTTAGGCTATTTTCCCTTTGTTGATTTTTTTAAAAGTAAAAATAAAGGGAATCTTCTTGGGATGCTGAAAAAGCGGATGGAAGTGGAAATATGCAAGATGAGGGCTCTTGTTATAAGGATAAATCTGTTGATAATAATGCCTTTTTTGCTTGCTTCTTCTTGTCATCCGTCCTTAGGGTTACTGCTATTAAGACACATGACTACTGGCATAGCAATATTTTACGGCATTATGCCAACACTTACCGAAAAGTGAATAATCAAACTTGAGCATATATTGAGTACCTACTGTGTGCCAGACCCCTTCACATACATTCTTTCACTTAGACATCAAAATAACCCACATTCTAAAGAAGAAGAAACAGGATTTAGAGAAATGAAATGACTTAATAAGGCACATGACTGAAATTCACTTCCATCTCTTCTGACCTCAGATCCAGAATTCTCCATTGTTATTCCACTCTAGAGCTAGAAAACGGATAGAGAATGAATTCTCTGATCCTGATTGTCTGGCGAGCCTATTAGATGTATTCCTGTTCTCCTCTGCATCTATGCCCACTGCCAATAAATTACCATGAGGGGTTAATGGCACTGCCATTCTATTCACCAAAAACTTGTCTTGAGAAAAATGTGATTGCTTTGAAGTAAAAAATGACTTTTTTTTTCTGCAGTAACAGCTATAAACTATAACTATTTGTCTTCCCTAATTTTATTTCAGGCTTAATCTTTGTGATAAAATGTGTTCTTCTTTGCTGTCATTTCATTTTTTTTCCTCTGCACAGACCTTATAATACATAGTCTTTATATCCTAATTGCATAGTTTAGTAATACATGCTTGCTAACCTGGGGAGTTTTTGTTTCAAGAAGGAAACACCTCTACGGTAAGGCTACTTGTTTCATGTCAAGGAAGACAGCACTGTCCATAGTCCCAAGTGCTGAAATGGCCTCTTAAATTCAGCTTAAAAAGAAAGAGTTACCCAAAGCACTCTGCTCTAGAGAAACTGACAGCTATTTTCCTTGGGACTGAACAACACTGAAATCCTTTCTGACTGAACTGAAACCCATTCTTTATTGACATACTCCCTGAAAGTTGATGAGGTTTAGGTTTGACATTTAAACAAATGAGCAGTGTCATTACTCACAGACAACTTTCTGCTCTTTGATGTCACTGTCAAATTGGCAAAATGAATTAGGTGGAGAATTGCTTTTCTGCCCCTCAGGTATAAGTAATTTTACACAGCAAGTGGCAGAAGGAGAAGTCGCATTATTTATGCAACATAAAGAGGCAGCATTAGGTATGGAGTTAAAATGCCACAGTGCAGGCAGCAGATGTAATCACTGACCCTTCAGGTCCTTTCACCATTTTCACTTTCATGTAACTGACTACTTGGAAAATTTCAACCTGGTTGGTCTTACAAATGTAATGCCATCAGTTAGAAGTCATTTCTCCTGCAGTGTTCTTTTGTGAAGTGATATATCAGAACATGCTCTAAGTAGAATGACAAGGTCTTGGTCATCCCCACCTCTTTCTCTTCTTCTCACAGTTCCTCTCTATCTTTATGCCCCCTCTCTGCCTTCCAGAGATGGAAAACAGTTTTCTGGGAAAAAATTGTAAATGGAATTGCATGAGTATTTACATTCTAATTAAAAGTCATATGCATGTCTAATTGTGGAATTTTAAGTCCTAGGGAGGAATATGGGGTAAAGTTCTTTTTGGAAGAAGTGTTTCTCCAGTATCTTCAAAATGATGCCACAGATAATCCATTCCTAAGTATATCTTGTGCTGTAGCCAAGTACATGTATCCACTTATTCAACCAGTACATACTGAGCAATATTTTTTAAAATTAATTTTTGTGTGGGGAGGAACTCTTGGGGAAACAGAAAGGAATATAATTGATGTAATTTTTATCCCTGATTCCTTGAGTAAAAATTGAAGGAGAAATGTGTTCTGGTCAGTTCAAACATTAAATACTTATGGAAAATGATCGATTTTCTGCCTCTCTTACTTCTGCATTCAAAGATATTATAAATTTCACTGGTATGCTTCTATTATCCCTGTTGTTGTCTCCATATGGAAATGGGAAGAACATCAAATATGTGTAGGCCTCAGTCTGGCTATGCTTCTTGTTTCTTGTATGCCCATTAGTTTCTTAACTTTCCAAGTCTGATTGTTCTAATTGTAAATTAAGGTTGATAATCCCCGCCTTGTAGAAATCCTATCAGGATATAATGTGCAGATATCCGCTATATAGATATATAGAGGAACAAACACATACCTTTTTTTTCTTGATGCATAGTAGTCACTAATTAATGCCAACTTTTATCCCTTCATTTCCACTATTAAAATCTCTCTGTGATGTGGTCTGTAGGCATCTTCCGCCTCCCTGGCCTGTCTGTGTCCCTGTAGCCCTTTATGTCCTCTGCTCTAGCCTTTTTCTCAATGGTGTATTTTCCTAATAAGTGTGAATAAAATGGAGTTGGAACATGTTACTCTTTTTTCCATACTAACTCCACCCACCCATCTTCTTCACACTGACTACTTAACATTGCCTTCCTGCCTCTCCATGAAAAGTTATTCCTAACTGTGGGAATAATTTTCTCTATCTCTTTTTTTGTTTCAGCTTAAATTTGACTATAGTGAGTCCCATTTATTAAAGTTTTTGAGTTGTTAGTCATTGTTAGTTGGTTGGTCTATCACTACTAATGTTTTTAATAACACACACACACACACACACACACACACACATACACACACACACTGGTAATATGTTGATTTAATTCATTTAAAGCACATTGTCCATTAAGGAATTTATCCAATAACAGTTAATGTAAATTAGGTGGGTGGGATGGGTGAAATATCTGTAATAAGGTTACTTCCTACAGTGTTAGTCTTATGTGTAAGTGGCAGAGTTGCAAGTTCCTGCTACTCCTAAGCCTAGGAGATACTCCTTTTCTGCTTTTCCTAATGCCCAATTCACTTCCATGGGTGTTTGTAAACTTGTCCTTTGCTACACAGGAAGCAAAAGGAGGTTAGAGATCATCCATTATGCATCTCTGCCAAGACTCAGTAAAAATCATGAATAGTGATAATAAAAGGTAATATAAGCCATTAAGCTTTAAACCTGTTACGCATTTTAGCTGTAGAATGCAAAAAAAAATGCTTATTCGGATGAGAATTAAACTGATGCTTCTGCATTTTTGCTAAAATCAAAACCACTTAGTCTTATTTGGTAAAATAAATCATATCTTTGACTTCAACAAAATCCCAATGATAACTTTTTAAATAAATGGCTGTCTTATAGATAACAGCAACATTTATCATGGACAGACAATGAGAGTATCATGTGCTACTGATAATTTAAATGTAATGAATTCTTCCTGTATTTGAAAATATATATAAGGAAATTGAAATAATGTAAAAAAATACTAATTTTCAAAAGAGGCCAAACCTAAAACTCAAATACAAGTGCAATGCTCCAGTTTTTAAAAAATTATTGACATTTTTTATTTTGAATTATTATGGATAATAATAGTTGTACATATTTATGGAGTACATGTGATGTTTCGTTACAGTCATACAATGTG